GACATGGAATCTAGTCTTATGCATGGTAGACAAACACTCTACCACTCAACTACATCCTGGCTAGGTTATTTCTTATAGTCTCTATTTCTTTGCTGCGGTTTCCTATCTTCACACTTAAGAATATTTTTCTTGGTCTGGGGATGTGGCTCAGTGGCTCAGTGTGGCTCAGTGGCTCAGTGTTTTCCTCATGTGTGCAAAGCCTTAGGTTTGATTCCCCAGCTCCACACACACAAAAATTTTTTTATTACTGTGCATAGTTTTAAGAGTTGTTGTACAGTCCTTTTCTACCAACTCCAGAATGTTGGAAATAGGGTCTAGGAGTCAACTTCCACTTACTGTTTTTTCTCAAAAGTAGTCATTTTAGATTTCTTTGTATGTCAAGTAATTATGGGTTGTACCCTGGAGTTGGAAATGATATACTGTAGATACTCTGGATTCTGTGACAGTCTCTGGAGGTGTTTTCGTTAAGCAAGTAATTAACTTGGCTTGGCTTTTTCTCTTGGGCAGCACCTAAAATGTCAGTTCAGTTCTTTTATTCTTTGATGTTTGGAGTCTCCCTGGATGTGTGGTTCAGGGTTCAGCCAAAGATTTAGGCCTTTCTCAGGCAAGATGTCATGAAAGTGGGGTACTCATCACATGCCATTCTTTTTTTTCCAAGGGGCAACTTCACTCCAGAATCTGTCTGGTCTTGGTTCCACTCCAAGATCTTCAAGTCATTTTTTTTTTTTAAATTTTCCATAGAGTTCTGTTATAGTGTTAATAAATCCATTAAGAGCTGACTTGCTCATACTAGAACCAGAATCTAGACTACCACTTCCAAAAATCTGCAAATGAAGCTGTAGATTAAATTGTACACTGTATTAGACTTGGCAGCAGTAGCAAATGGAGTTGAATATTTTTTTCTCCAACATTCTGAAATTGATCAGTCTGGGATCAACCCTACTTCATTGTTTCTCAGGTAACCAGGTTCTATTTATTTTGTTAATCTACTATCACTACAGTGTTTTCCTATTTTTTATGGTCAAAATCAAGTCACCACCATGTCTATGTTCCAACAGTTTCAACCTAAAGTGTATGCAGAATTTGCACATACCGGGTATCTGTTCATCCCAATGATGTTCATATGGCCAAACCAAATTACAAGGGATTCTGAGAAACATGGACTGTAGTGTCAGCAGTCAAAACTTGGAGGATGAGACTTATTAGTAAAAGGAAGAATAACACATAATGAATATTAGGGGACAAGAATAGCCCGTCATTATTCAGCCTCTCTGAGAGGTAGGTACACATGAGAACCTTGTGTTTCCCCAAAGAGTAAACTTATTCCCTCCCCAGGGGAAACAAACCAAAATGCCATCCAGATTCTGAATCCAGCAAAATATTTAGTACGTCTGGGTAACTATTAGTGAAAAGAATAAAGAAAGACTGGCTACCGGACAGTTGCTGTCTGTGCTTCTAATATTTATTTGGCAACCTCTGTCTACATATAAGCAGGTGTGTGTTGGGCAGGGGGGTGGCACAGCAAAGTGTAGCCAAAACTTTAAGTGCACCAAATACAGGTCCACAGGAATACTGAAGTTTGTCTATACAGTAGCCTCATGTAGACAAAGATAAATTTACAAGGGGGTACAAAAAAGAAAAAAAAAAGATATAAAAATAATGGTAATGCTTGGAAAGAGGGAAATGAAGTATTTGTTCATTCATATAAACTTGATTTAAGATAAAACATTATATATTTTTAGCTGGTTAGCATTTCATGTGATTAAAGGATTGTAAATAAAGGAAAATTTAACCAATAACTTCATATTTTGGAATTATAAAATGTATTCAAATGATACTAAATGTAGTTTAATAATGAAAAGGTTTGAAAAAATCTGAAGGAAGCCTGTAACTCAAAAATATTTATCATACTTAGGCAAAATGAAAACATTTTACTAAGTTACACTATATTCAGTTTGCCTTAACCTAACTAGATAGTATCATTTGTTAAATATATTTTAATTCCAAAGCATCAAATTTTTAGTCATAAATTTTCATTGAGAATCAAAAGATTAAAATAAAAATTTGAATAAAAAATCACCATACTTAAGCAGCTTAAATGTCAGCTTTCCACACATAACTGAAAGATTTAAATTTTGCTTCTTTTATTATTCGAGCAAACATTACACTAGAGGAAATGATTGGGAAAATACAAATAGATTCATTAAAAACACAGGCTGATTATTCATTCTGTTACATTCAGAAGTATGCAAAACAATTTAGTTATTGCAAAGCTGTAATTCCTTTTCTAACAAAGCATTTTATAAAACTGTAGTGTTGCCATTGATTCCATTTTAATACAAAATACTTATATACACAATACAATATAAAAGTAAACTATATAGTGCCTTCCACAAAAGGATATATTAAGGCGCTTTACAAATATACCAATTTGTTGACCCAAATTACTTTTTGCTTTAGATTAAAAGAAACAGACTAAATGTTTCACTTTAAATACCAAAGGGATTTCTGTTTATTAAAGAAAATTTTCTAATGTACCTTAGGTAACAGCAGCAGCAATATCTAAAATCCTCCCACTGTATTCTCTAATTTCCAACATATTATTAAGTCAGAATAAAACATTTCCACTCACAGTTTTGCACTTTGCAACAGCAGAAGGTAATAACTTTTTTAAAAAGTCAATCTCAAAGTGACTTTTTAGTCATACATTCTATAGTTTCTATTACAAATAAGAAGGTAGAAAACATATAACAATAGGGCCTGCCTTAGGATACCACTGGACAATACATAAGTTATCTACAATTACATAATTATAGAACATATTTTATAAATACTATTGATATGCATAAAAGGGTAAGTGTAAGACGGCAAGTTGTTTTTTTTTAATAAGAAAATCACTTTAAAAGGAAAACATGTAGAACCAATGTTTTCACTCCATTTTAATTGAAGGCATTCAGATATTTTTATGCTGTTGCTGTCTTTTGATCAGGAAGTCCAGGATTTACACTGAAGAACTGGATGTGGGGAATTATAATAGCTACTAAGTATATCCATACCATTTTAACTGCAGATACCAATAGTTTGTATAGTGCTTCAGACAAAGACAAAAAGTGTTGGAGGAAATTTTATAAGAATACAAAATTTATAGTGTCATATTTGAAGAACAGCAGCAGTACAGATTCTGTTGGGAGAGGAGAAAAGAGGGAGGATACAGCACCTTAGTTTTCCTACAATGTAAATGTAACAAAGTTGGTTTTCTACTGTATTGCACCATAGTCCAGAAGTAAAACTATTAAATGAAAATTTAAGTAAATCCACCTGAAAAGTTTAAAGAACAAGAGGGTATCTTATAAATGTGAGTACCAAGCTAAAAATTCTTGTACTAGTTTGTTCTGCATAGGATTTAATAGGACTTATCAAATGTTTCATGAAGACTGCCATCTTATAGTATTTTCTTAAACTTCTCTGGTTTTAAATCATTCAGAAATATTGTTGTATCAATCCTATAATAAGCCAAACATTTCAGTGCCCTCAAAATGGTATGTTTAAAACATCTTAGTTTTTATTGGTACCAAGGATTGAACTCGGGACCTTGCGCTTGCAAGGCAGACAGCAGAACCACTGAGCTAAGTCCCTGGCCCCAGCATGCTTTTCTCTTGATGATACAAAACTAAGATGTTTTAGGGGCCAGGGGTTTAGCTCAGTGGTTCTGCTGCCTACCTTGCAAGCCCAAGGTCCCGAGTTCAATCCCCAGTACCAAAAAAAAAAAGAGAAAGAAAAGTATGCATAGGATCACCTTATCACATGCTACCAAGGTTTCCCATCACAAATCATCAGTTTTATACAAGATGAATTACAGTATTGATCAGTAAATTAAAAGCAAAGTTTAATACATCAATTTCCTTACAAGACAAAGGTCCTTAACCTAGTCAGTGACAGGTTTATGTCCAGAATTTCCTGAAATTGCATGCAATATTTTACGTGTACATTGATGTGCCTTTTTTTTTGGAGCTGAGGAACTAGAGCCCATAGCCCTTATCAGATTCTCAAAACAATCAGTGACACTAAAGACCCACATTGCATGGCAGTAGTTTTCAGGCTGAGCTCTTAAGAGGGCCACCTACAAAAGGTGAGAAATGTGAACTAACAAATGTTTTTTCAACTGGAACACCTTTGTCTTTAATTTTACTACATGTTTTCCATTAGCTTTTATATGAAACAAGCTAAAAGTTTTTAAAAGTCACTAAAATTAGTCCTCTTATCCACATTTTTTATTCAAAAAACTCCGTATCAATGAAGCTTTAAAGTAAATAACATACAAACTAGTTACTAAGGTCAGAATAGAGTTCAGTTCTCCTTCCTAAAAGATAATCTATATGTATTTTGGTATGAAACCACAGTTATCCTTAGAATTTAAGCATTATATAAATAGGCATGTTGAAAAACATAATTAACCTTAAATAAGTTAGCTAAGACCACTATGTAACTTTTCCTAATTATTAATGGCCATCTCAATTAAGTTATTTTTTTCATCAGTTAATCGGCCCTTAGGTAAAACACTGTATTACCAAACAGCTATCTTTTCTTTTGACAGTAACAATCTGTTTATCCAGAACTGTTTGAAAGAGGTTCTATGGCATTGATGATATAATCAAAGTAGTCACTATATAGGAAAATTACTATTTTTTTCTTTTTGAGGTGCTGGAAATTGAACCTAGGGCCTGGTGCATGCTAGGCAAGTGCTCTACTCTAAGCTATATCCTCTCAGCCCCTCCCCCCGGGGGGACTTTAATTAATGTTCACAAATAATTCTAATCAAAATTTTATATAAACTGAAAATTTCTTGGCTTAGAATAATAGAAAAACATTTCAATTCCAAAGTAAAACTATAAAAGACCTTAGCTTTCAGTATTTATTTATGGCAACTTTGTTCCCTTTAAAACTGGAAGCAGCATTAATAACAAAATGGGAAAAAAACTCGTCGTCCTTTCACTTCTATGAAAGCCAGTATTTTTTGAAAAAAAAAAAAAAAAAAAAAAAGCTAGAGGAAAAAAGCTAGACGACTATTCCACAGAGGAGGGGAGAAAAGATAACTGCATTATTTTTCCTTCTCATGGACATATTGTTTCTACCCTGTATTTCTTAGTTCCAGGATATAACTTGTACAAATTATCATTAACCTAGGAACACTATGCAAAATGATGGCTTAATTTCTCTAGCAAGATTGGGGAGGAGGGGAGAAGAGCTCTGTAAATATGGGCATGTTTCATATTTGGTTAAAGCAAGATAAAACTAAAAATGTCTTTCAAAAAATTTCAAAAACTCTTGAGTTTTAAAATTATTTAGCATATATACAAATAGATAACAGGCTTCTCCTTTTAAACAAAGCACTATTTTTTATTTTAAGTACTTTAAGTACTAAGAACTCACTGTAATATTCAGTTCATAACTTATGTATAACAATTTTTTTCTAAATTATTGATTTAAAAGGTTGGAATAAATTAACATTTTAAAAGGACTTCCCATAATTTAGGAAAATAAAATATTGTACACAGAGCACACATATAGAGCTCTGCCACAGTTGCATAATTTTACTTTTAGAATTTCAAAAAGCCCAGTATATTTCAGGCCTTATTGCAGATTCTCATTATAATTATTTTCTAGTGTGTTAAACATACACTAGATCACGATTTTTGATCTCTGAGCCTTTATGTTGATCATCTTCATCTGAATGTTCCTCTGAGCCTTGTGAATTAATGTGTTCATATTCGATAGGCTTTGGATAATTATATGGGTAGCCATTGTCATCAAAGAACCTCCGAAAGGTAAATTCATAGAAAGCGTGTTCAGGGTGCTTTCCATTTTTATACCATCCATTGAGAGTGTCATTTACATTTTCTTCCTCATTATCATCACTCCATAACTTGTCAGGATCAACAGGGTCAAAATTTGATGTGTCTGTTGGGTGTGTGATTTTAGGAATATATGACGCAGACTGCTGTCTCAGATCACTGGAGAAATCAATTGTTTTAAAAAATGGATGAGCTTTTATTTCATCAGCACCATTCTTGCCTAAGCGATCTTCTGGTCCTCGGCAGAGTTTAATAATCAGATCAGAGGCTTCAGGACTCAGTTTAGCTTGTGGTGGAATGTGAAGAGATGTTTGCCAGTTGATAACCTTTAAAGAAGATTCATAAAAATTAGGTAGGAAGAGATAAAGAACAAAAATTTCTTCCAACTTTTCTGAAAAAAAGTGTAACTGGACTATTTTTAAATAAACTGTGTATTTATTTTATTGTCTCTGTGTTTAATAATGAATCATTTGGGAAAATAACCTTTTCTCCTAACCCTTCCTCTCCAGGGAACTTAAACTTACACCATAAGACCCACAAATTTTTATATCCCCTCTTAAGGCCTACTTCATGCTACCTCCCCTGCATCATATATTTACTTCTGTCATGTTTCTAGTACTCTGTGGTACCTCTTTATGTCTGTATCCTTCTGTGTTTACTGTTTGAAGTAAAAATTCTGTAACAAGAACTTTATTTTTTTTTGACAAGATCTTATTAGGTTGCCCAGCCTGGCCTTGAATTTGCTATCCTTCTGCCTTAGCCTCCCTAATGCTGGGATTACAGACATGCACCACCACATCCAACAGGAAACTATGTTTTCATTGTTTTTGTATTTCCTAATACTTGCCTGACACATAATAGATGTTCAATAAATCTTTGTTCTGGTTTTGAGTAAAGCAGCATGAGGGAAAAAAAAGAATGCCAAGTGAACTGTCACAGGCAGAGGGAATGGTATATTCTGAATACAACACTAGAAGGTTTTGGGTAAACCTTGATGAATGGCAAAATGCATAGTTATTTTACCTAGATAAGACATCTTCAACTTCACAGGGAATCAGTAGATATCATATACTCACATAGCAGCCAAACAGCTACAGTGGAAGAAAAAAATGTATACCCCTTTTCTTATATTATCTATTTAAAGTCTTATCCTAGGCCAGAAAAGAGGTACTCCAACTAACAGAATATTTTTAAAATTATTCTTGAAAAATAATGATGAGATAGTAATATTTATGTGTGGTTTTATCACTTACTTAACATAGGAAAAAATGTAAACATACAATCAGCTAGATAAGCTTTTATTTTGTGCTACTAGGGATTAAACCCAGGGCTTCATACATGTTAAACAAGCACTCTACCACTGAGTTATATCCCTGGACTTTTTTTTTTTCCCCTAGACTTTTTAAAATTTTATTTTAAGACAGGGTCTTGCTAAGTTGCCCAGGCTGGCTTGAACTTAAGAGTCCTCCTGCCTCAGTCTTCTAAGAAGCTGAATTTTTTATTTTAAGAAATTTTTAGTTTAAGGTAAAACAAAAGACTAAGCATATCCAGGGAAATTGTTAATTCAAAGATGGACCAATAGGGCCAGGGATTTAGCTCAGTGGTTCCACTGCCTGCCTCGCAAGCACAAGGTCCTGAGTTCGATCCCCGGTACCAAAAAAAAAAAAAAAAGATGGACCAATAGAAATTACATAAACTGAAGCACAGAGAGGATAAAAATAAAAAAAATAAAGCATTACAAATATGAAAGACCATATCAAATTAATTACATATATATGTAATATATATATTAGTTTGAATCCCAGAAGGACAGAAGGAAGCACAAGAAATCTTTTAATGGACAAAAACTGAAAGCTTTCACTCTAAAATCAGGAACAAAGACAAGGATGTCCACTGTTAACCACTCTTGTTCAATATAGTTCTGGAAACACTAGCCAGAGCAATTAGATAGAAAGAAATAAAAGGAATAATATTTGTGGATGACATGATACTCTACATAGAAGACCCCCAAAACTCTAGCTGGATACAAAGTCAACACTCAAAAATCAATAGCCTTCCTGTACACAAATAACAGACTCATGGAGAAAGAAATTAGAGAAAAAACCTCTTTCACAATGGCATCCGAAAAAATGAAATACCTAGGAATCAATCTAATGAAGGAAGTAAAAGCTCTCTACATTGAAAACTACAGTACTCTAAAAAAGGAGATTGAAGAAGATATCAGAAAATGGAAGGATATCCCTTGTTCTTGGATAGGAAGAACCAATATAGTGAAAATGGCCATACTTCCAAAATTGCTATACAGATTTAATGCAATCCTGATCAAAATTCCAACAGCATATCTCACAGAATTAGAGAAAACAATCCTAAAATTCATTTGGAACCAGAAAAGACCTAGAATAGCAAAGGCAATTCTGGGCAACAAAGGCAAAGCAGGAGGTATCACAATCCCTGACTTTAAATTATTCTACAAAGCTATGGTGATAACGACAGCACAGTACTGGCAAAAGAATAGACCTGAGGATCAATGGAACAAGGTACAGGATGCAGAAACAACTCCAGACATACTCAGACACCTTATCTTTGACAAAGGAGCGAAACTCCTTCACTGGAAAAAAGGTAACTTCTTTAATAAATGGTGCTGGAAAAACTGGCTTTCTACATGCCTAAGACTGACACTAGATCCATATCTTTCACCACCCACAACGTAAAATTGAAATGGAACAAAGATCTAAATATAAAAACAGAAACACTAAATCTGCTGAAAGAGAAGACAGGTAGAACACTTGAGGACAAGGGAAGGAATAGGCAAAGACTTCATGAACAAAACCCAGAACGCATGGGAAGTACTACAAAGAATTACCAACTGGGACCTCATCTTATTTTTTTTCTTTCATAAATTCTTTTATTGGTACATTTTAGGTATACAATACATATACATTTATCATTGGGAACTTGTACCTTTACGTAATGTATCTTGGTTCTTATTTTTTCCCTATTCCCCTTTGCTCCCTTCAACTCCTCCAACCCTATTTACAAAGATTTTGTTTCCATTTTTTTCCTTTTCTCATATTTTTTCCTTTCCCTTCTTTCATTTCCCCTAGTCCTCCCACCTCCCCTTCCCCTTCCCCTTCGGACCTTTTCTTCCTATTTCACATTATCAATTATTCATTTTAATCCTTATTTACACTTTCAGTTTCTCACACCAGAGAAACTATTCGGTATTTACACATGTGTGGAACTTCATCTTATTAAAAAGCTTTTGCACAGCAAGAGATACCTCCACCAGAGTGAACAGACAGCTCACAGTGTGGGAAAAAATTGTTACCAGTTATTTAGATAAAGGACTATTATCTAGAATATATAAAGAACTCAAAAAAAAAATCATACCCCCAAATTAAAAAACCCAATCCAAAAATGGGCATCTGAAATAAAGATACTTCTCAGATGAAGAATTAGAAACGGCAAATAAATAATATGAAAAAATGTTCAACATTACTGGTCATTTGTGAAATGCAAATTAAAACATCTCACTCCAGAAACAATGGGTGCTATCAAGAAATCAACCAATAACAAATGCTGGAGGGGCTGTAGGGAAAAAGGAACCCTTTTCCACTGTTGGTGGGAGTGTAGATTGGTACGACCACTGTGGAAATCAGTGTGGAGATTTCTCAAGAAGCTAAAACTAGAGGTTCCATTTGACCCAGCTATACCTCTTCTTAGTATCTTTCTGAAAGAATTAAAAGCATCATACCACAGTGATATATACACATCCATGTTTATAGCAGCACAATTTGTAATAAATCTTGGAAACAGCCCAAATGCCCATCAACAGATGAGTGGATAAAGATGTGGCTTTTTTGTTTGTTTGTTTTTGGCACCAGGGATTGAACTTGGGACCCTGCAATTGCAAGGCAGGCAGCGGCACCACTGAGCTAAATCCCCGGCCCAAAGATGTGGTTTTTTAATACAATGGAATACTACTCTGCCATAAAGAAGGATGGGCTTCAGACATTTATAGCTAAATGGATAGACCTTGAAACCATACACTTAAGTGAAGTAAATCGGACACACATGTTTAAATACCGCATTGTTTCTCTCGTGTGAGAAACTGAAAGTGGAAAAAAGGACTGAAATATATAATGGATGTTGGGAAATGGGAAGAAAGTGTTCAAATGGAAAGGGAAATAAGGGAGGAGAGAGGGAGAAAGGAAGGAAGAACTAGAAAAAAAGTGAAAATTAGAAAAAATGGCAAAGCTAGGAGACTCCGGCCCATAGCATGGGCTTGATAAATTGCTCTGTTTTCTCCCGTTATCCCTTCACTTCTTACTATTAGCTTTGTTATTGTAGAAGAAGTAACTTAAAAATTGGATGCATGTTGGGCTGGGGATTTAGCTCAGTGGTTCCGGCGCCTGCCTCACAAGCGCAAGGTCCAGAGTTCAATCCTCGGTACCAAAAAAAAAATTGGACGCATGTGAATATGAGTGATTTGAGCAAAGGAGATTATTGGGGTTACTCTTGTGGGAGTGCTCTTGCTATATCCATAGTTCAGTAAGTCACTTAATAACTCAATCAGGCTGGGTGTGATGGTGCAGATGCTTATGGTACTCCCAGTTACTTGGGAGGCTGAGACAGAAGGATTGCAAATTCATACCTGTGTGTGATGGCACAAACCTGTAATCCTAGCATTCAGGAAGCTGAGGCAGGAGGATCACTGTGAGTTCAAGACTAGTGTGGACTACATAGTAAGTTCAAAGCTAACTATGTAGCAAGACCCTATCTCGAAAAAAAGAAAAAGAAAAAAAGAGGACTGATAGTTCAAGGCTAGCCAGAGCAATTTAGCAAGAAAGACATCATCTCAAAAATTAAATTAAAAAGGGCCAGGGATTTAGCTCAGTGGTGCCACCACTTGCCTTGCAAGCACAAGGTCCTGAGTTCAATGCCCGGTAAAAAAAGAAAAAAGCTCTGGGTACGTGGAAAAAAAAAAAAGGCAAAGCTTTTGTACATAGGGAGAGGAGGGGGCTTGGGGGGAATGGGATAAAATTAAGTTATTTAAAAAAAGAAATCTCTGAAGACATATTACAGATAATTTCCTAAAACTGATGAAAGTCATCCATCTATAATTCAAGAAACCTGGTGAACTGTGATCACGATAAATATAAAAAAAACTACACACAAGCACATCATGGTCAAACTGCAAAAAAATCAAAGTTAAAGAGGGAGGAGGGGAAGCAAAACCAAACTAAAACAAAATAATGCCCTACAAGCAGTCAGAAGAGGTTCCAGTTCTAAATAAGATGGAGTAGATACATTTCTTTTATTTTTCCCATTGAATGCAGCTATAAAACCTGCATGGAATGCATGGAGCAGATACCTAAGTAATCTAAAAATAAAAAGTCTTGTGTCCCATAGTATAGACTCAAAGTTGCCCCAAATTTGGAAGGGACATGGCATGGACAGAGTGAGCCTCAGAAGAAGCCCCCTTTTTTTTTTTTTTTTTGGTCCAGGGATTGAACTCAGGACCTTGTGCTTGCACGGCAGGCTCCGGAACCACTGAGCTAAATCCCCAGCCCAGAAGAAGCCCTTCTAATTCAGGTTCAAGGAGTTCCATGAAAACAGCTTCCTGGCAGGAATACAGATGGCAATAGTGCCCATAGGTATCTACAACTGTGAGAGGGAACTCTCTTCCCAATTGGAAATAAAACCATATAGCAGTGATGGCGAACCTTTAAGAGACAAATGCCCAAACTGGAACCAAAAACCCATTTATTTATCACAAAGTGTCAACACTGTAATTAAATTTGTATACTGAGGTTTTAGTTTAGAAAAAACAACTCATACATTAGCATCTTTTGTCTTAGAAGAAAAACAACACATATGCCATAGGTTTGCTACCACTGCCATATAGCACATGATCCGAAAAAGATGGTTCAAATCTCTGTTGTTTTCTCTTACTATCTTCTTGGTACCTTGTCCTGGATGCTGGTGTAGTTGAGAAATTTATGGCAGAGTGGAGGTAAACATATGTGTATATCTCCTTACTTTCTTATCAGAAAACCAAAATGAGGAGCCATAGGGAACTGGATATTGCAGCACGGGAGACTGGAAACTCAACCTCATAAAGTTGTTTAGGAAAACCTGGGCTTACCCTCCAAACTGTATGTGGCTCTGATTGATTGATTGATTGATTGATTGATGGATTGATTTAAAATTTATTTTTTAGCAGAAATGTATTGCCCTTTATTTGTGTTTCTCAGAATACTGTACAAAGGGAGTAAAAATCCTATTCACACTTTGCTTAGAAAGATGTGAAGGTGAAAGTTCCCTTACGATACATGGGGTGAGGGGAAGCCCAAGAGGCAAAGCTGGGGGAATGGGCACCCTCCTGGCTCGGGCCCTGCTCTAAAGCACGGTGTCCCAAGTGGCTCCAGCCCAGCCCAAACTCGGGTTGCTCCTCAGGATGAGGAGATGGCACCCATGGCCACTCTATGCTTCTCCCACTGCCCTGCCTGAGCAGGGGTCTGGCAGTCCAGCGACCCCGTGTGGGGTGGTATGTGGCTCTGATTTAAAGAATACATTGAAGACTTTGAGAACTGAAGGAAAATAACAAAGCCCAGGGACAGATTTGCCTAGCAATGTAATGGCTTTGAAATGAACACTGAAAACACAATGGAATTATTATGGCCTGAATCCAGCCAGCTTTAATGCTTGCCAAAACAGTGTCATCATTTTCCATTAGTTTTAAGTAAGATGCAGAGTCTCATAACAGAATATTCAAAATGTTCAGATTAAAATCCAGAATTACTCAGCACACAAAGAACCAGGAAAATTTCAACTCACAAAAGGAAAAGACAATCAACAGAGTTGAGATGATGCAGATGTTAGAATTATCCGACAAAGATTTGAATGTAGCCAATATAAAAGTGCTCCAAATAAAGGTAAACACTGTACAAATGAATTAAAAGAAAGCCTGAGCAAAGTGATCAAAAATATAAATAACTAAAACTAATGGATGGGCATGATAGAATGTGAGAGAAAAGAGACAGTGACTATGATAAATTAATAGAAATTATACAGCCTGAACAACAGAAAGAACAAGGATTTAAAATATGAATAGAACCTTAGAAATATGTAGGACTATACCAAAAGGTTTAACATTCCTGTCATTGCAGTCCTAAGAGGAGACACAGTTAAGTGCAGAAAAATATTTTATGAAATGATGGCTGAACATTCCCCAAATTTGATCAAGGACATACACCTACAAATTTAAGATGATTAGTGAACACTAAATAGGGTAATAAACCCTAAAAAAATCCATGGACAGACACATCGTGATCACAATACTGAAAGCTAAAGACAAAATTAATTGAAAGGGTCCAGGAAAAAAAAAAGTGGCCAGAAAAAAGTGATGCATTACTTAAGGGATATTTATGACTGCAGATATCTCTTTAAATTACAGAAGACAGAAGGAAGTGGACATTTTAAAGTGCTGCAAGAACTGAAATGAAGAATTATATACTGCTATGGTTTGGCTTCACTAAAACTCACGTTGAGGCTTAGTCCCCAATGTGATAGTGTTAAGAGGTGGTGAGGCCTTTAAGGGTTTGAGCCAGGGCCTGGTATTTAGCTCAGTGGTTCCGCCACCTGCTTTGAAAGCACAAGGTCCCGAGTTCGATCCCCAGTACCAAAAAAAAAGAGTTTGAGCCAGGGAGTGGCACACATCTGTAATCTCAGCTACCTGGGAGGGTTCGGGAGAAGGATCCCAAGTTTAAGGCCAGCCTGGGCAAATCAGCCAGAGCCTGCCTCAATCAATCAATCAATCAATAGGTCTGGAGATGTAGCTTAGTGGTAGAGCACTTGCCCAGGAAGTGTAAGGCCCCGGGTTCAATCCTCAGTAGTGGGGGAAAAAAAGGCACCAGGTCATACAGATTTGCCTTCATGAAGGGATCTCAGGAAGGGATTAATGCTATCTCACAGGAATGAATTTGAGTTCCTTCTCTCATGGGACTGGACTGATTGGTTACTACCATAAAAGTGGGTTATTACCAAAGCAGAGTTGTCCCTTGTGTTCTGTCTCTTTTGTACATATCTCCTCACTTCTGGCCTCTGCCATGTTAAGGAAGCAGCATGAGGCTGTCATTACAGGGCCACTCAATCTTGGACTTTTTAGCCTTTGGGACCATGATCCAAAACAAATCTCTTTTCTCTATAAATTACGCAGTCTCAGATATTCCATTATACCAATAGGAAATGGAATAAGACATGTATCAAATGATAGTGTCCTAAGTATGGTAAAATAAAGACATTCGCAGATAAAATTAAGAGCCAGTAAACCTTCCTTAAGGAAGCTGTTCACACAAGAATTACAGAAGAAATCTTGAAACATTAGAAATTCAGGAAGAACAATATCCAAGCAAATACAAATGACTATCCTTCTCATCTTAAATTCTTTAAAATAAATTGGCTAAATGTAATAATTGTAACCTTGTTGGATAAAGTTTTAAGTCTATGTAGATGTGCCGGGTGTGATGGTGCCTATAATCTCAGCACTCAGGAGGCTGAGGCAGGAGGATCATTGTGAGTTCAAGACCAGCCTAGGCTACATAGTGAGTTCAAGGTCTGTCTAAACTACATAGTGAGACCCAGTCTCAAAAAAAAAAAAAAAAAATCTATGTAGATGTAATGCATACCTACAAAATAAAAAGTAGTGAATAAAGGGACCTATATGGTAAAGTAAGGTTCAACACTGATCTTGAAGTAGCACAGTATCAATTCTAAGTAGGCAGTGAAAACTTAGTATGAATTTTGCAGTCACTAGAACAACCATAAACTATACAAAGGGATATTATGCCAAAAGCACAGTACAAGGAGATATCACAGAAAATGGCACTGTAAGAAGCTTTGGAGACCTGCCCTTCCAAAAATAAAAACAACCATTAAACTGTAAAAACACAGTTAGAATCAACTATTTGGAATTCTGGAACCTGACTGGACACTTTACAGCAACCAAAGGCAGGCTTCATGAAGGGAAAGGCTACCAAAATTTGGTAAAAAAGTAACATGTGAACCAACTACCATCCACATCCCATCCACATCCCATCCACATCTGCTGCTGCCATGGAGACCACACTCTGCCTTCCTGAAGCAGCTGAATGACCTCAGATGGGCAGTAAGGTCCTTCTATTCCAAAAATTGGGGGCTATACATTTTGGTTGGTCTTGGTGATTTCTGAGGTACCAGCTCAATTGCTTGCCTGCCTACCTACCTGCCTGCCTGCCTTCTAACTACTCTGGAAGATCTTAAGAGACAGACACACTTTTCTTTCTTTGATCCAGACATTTGAGGAAATCTTGTCAGGCCACTGGCTTAGGTTTGTTTTCTTACTATTGAGTTTTGAATGTTCTTTATATAATATAGATAAAAGCCCTGTGTTGGATATGTGATATGATTTGCAAATAATCCTTCCAGTCTGTAGTTATTTCATTCACTTGACTGTGTCTCTGATAGTGTCAAAATTCGTAATTTTTTTTTTTGGTACCAGGGATTGAACTCAGGACCTTGTGCTTGCAAGAGGCGGCAGAAACACTGAGCTAAATTCCCAGCCCAAAATTCGTAATTTTAATGAAGTCCAATTTATCTACTTTTTTTTGGTACCGGGGATCGAACTCGGGACCTTGTGCTTACGCAGCAGGCGCCAGAACCACTGAGCTAAATCCCTGGCCCTATCTACTTTTTAAAAAACTGGTGTGTGCTATGATACAAGATAGTTAAATTTACTCTGGAAACTGGTACATATATATTGTATCTTGATCACTTTTGGACCCTTTCCCCAAACACACCCTCCCTATCAACTTTTTCTTCTATGGATTATGATTTTGGTATCATTCCTAAGAACTACTCACCTAATCCCAGATCAAAGACTTTCTTCTGTGTTTTCTTCTAAAAGTATCATAGCTTTGTTTTATCTCTGTACGTACAACACATTTTGAATTAATTTTGTGTAACCTTCGTGTAAGGTTGAGTTGTTTTTGTATATGGCTGACCAAGTTTTCCTATATCATTTGTCATAAACTATCCTTTTTCTCTTTATACCTTAAATCACCATGGAGTTTTAAATGGGACAGTGTATGGTCAAAATTGCAGGTAACTTCTCATTTAAGTAGTAGAGGTATTTTCAAATGCAAATACAGGTATTTGTAGTTTGGGGCTAGAATGTGCAAGGAAGGAGAGAAAGCTAGGAGGCAGTGGCTGACAAGAAGTACTGTAAATTAGAATACATTTTCAAAGATTAAATGGCCCTGATGGTATTGTTCTATATCCACATTATATACTGTTCAACCGATCTATGTGTTTCCTTTTGCCAATATCACACTGTCTAAAGTACTGCATATTTATAGTAAGCCTTAAAATCAAGTAGTTGATTCCTCAAACTGTGTTCTTTTTAAAAATTGTTTGGGTTACCCATATAAATCTCAGGATCGATGATCTATATTTATAGCAAATCCTGCAGGAGATTTGACTTGAATTGACTTAAGTCTATAAATTAGTCTGGGCAGAACTGATAGCTTCACTATAGTGAGTCTACCAATTAATGAATATGGTACATGTTTTCCCTTATTTAAATCTTCTTTGCTTTTTTTCAGCAGCATTTTCTATCTTTTAGCACACAGATATTAAGGTTCTGTTAAGATTTACAACTAAGTATTTTATTTGGGGGGAACTATTAAAAATGATATTAAAATTTTAGCTTCTAGTTGTTCCTTGATTGAATACAAACCTGCAATTGATTTTTAAATGTAATATTTATACCCCACAACCTGGCTAAACTCAGTTAATCAGTCCTATAAGCTTCCTGTAGAAAATTATGTCACATGTGAATAAGAAAAGTTTTTATTTCTTCCTTTGCAATGTTTATATCTTTTATTTCTTTTTGTTGCTGTATTACACTAGCTAATAAGACTTTCAGAACATAATACTGGTAAGAGTGGATATCCTTGTTTTGTTCTCAATCTTAGAAAGCATTCAGTTACCTGCATACACATATGTATACTAATATAAATGTATATGATATAAACTAAAATGAAGGCAAAATGAAGACACATTGAGACAACGTGAATCCATTATCAGCAGACCTAACTTTCAAAAAATTCTAAAAGAAGTTTTAAAAAATATTAAATATGACTGAGGTAGTTATGGGGGGGGGAGATGTCATCTCAAGACATAATGATTAAGAGTTAAGCAGGTCCTGCCAGGCATGGTAGTGTATGCCTGTAAACCCAGCACTTGGGAGAGGCAAAGGGACTGCCAGGCAGCCTGGACTACATAGTGAGTTCAAGCGCAGCCTGAACTATATAGCAAGACCCTGTCTCAAAAAACCAAACCAAACCAAAACAAACAAACAACAAAAAAGAAAGAGTTAAGCAGGTTTCAGAAGGGAAATGGGTTTTGTGGAAGATAGAAGAGAACTAAGATATTCCAGAAATAGGGAATGGTATGAATAAAAAACAGAGGACAAATCTTTCTTTTAACCCTTATACTAAGGTAGCATTACAGGGTTTTCAGCAGAACAAGGTATGGTCAAAATTGTAGTCAACTTCTCATTTAAGTGGCAGAGTTATTTCAGGAGCGAATACAGACATTTGTTTGTAGTTTAAGGCTAGAATGAGCACAAAAGAAGATAAAGCTAGGAGGTAGTGGCTGACAAAGAGTCACTGGAATAAATCTTCAGAAGAGATTAAAGATTTTTATGACAATAAAACATGAGTATAGGGCTGGGGATTTAGCTCAATGGTGTCGCCACCTGCCTCGCAAGCCCAAGGTCCCGAGTTCGATCCCCGGTACCAAAAAAAAAAAGACTATCAACCTTTTGGGCCAGGGATTTAGCTCAGTGGTTTCGCCACCTGCTGTGCAAGCGCAAGGACCCGAGTTCAATCCCCAGTACCAAAAAATAAAAATAAAAATAAGTAAAACCTGAGTATAGTGTGTGAGAGTGAATATAAGAATACAGTGACAGTTGAGATAATAAAGATTAGAGTTCACACATGGAATTTTAGTGGATTCATTCTTTAACTTCAGATTAAGGCAATCTAAGTGAAGTATAAATTGAGCATCCAAAAATCCAAAGTATTAAATGGTCTAAAATTCAAGACTTTCTTTCTTTTTTTTTTCTTTTTTTTTTTTAAATACTGGGGACTGCAGTGAGGGCCTGTGCAATGAGTTTCCCTAAACTGCCCAGATAGGACTCAAATTTGGCACTCCTCCTGCTGCAGCCGCACAAAGTGCTGGGATTACAGATGTGTGCCACCATGTCCATCTCAAATCCAAAACATTTTTAAGTATTCACACGACATCACAAGTGGAAAATTCCACACCTAACTTCAGGTAACAGGTCACAGTCAAAACAAAGTCCAAGGGTCTAATTAATGCTCAATGGTAGAGTATTAAACTTGCTGTATAAAACTGCACATAGGCTATGTGCATAAGGTGTATATGAAATATAAATGATAGAAGGCTTGCCTAGCATGCATGAGGCCCTAGGTTCAATCATCAGCACCACAAAATGAACAAACAAAGGAAACAAATGAATTTCATGTTTAGATATTTCATTATGCATATACATGCAAACCAAATATCTGAAAAATTCAAAATCTGAAATACTTCTAACCTCAGACATTTCGAATGAGGGATACTCAACCTGTACTAATAAATAACGGTATATGATATAGGACTCTGTGACAGTTATTTTGTTACAGGTTCTATACCTTACCTTCATTTGTGTTTCTAATGGTGTTTGTGCCAAGAAAGGAGGTTGTCCCACCAACATTTCAAAAAGAATAACACCAACACTCCACCAATCACACAACTGTGTATAGCCTAAGGATACCAAAATTATAGTTATTTATAAGCCATCTTTTCAAATGCTCAGAATTAATACAATCAGCATTAACATTAAATCGCCAATTTATACTGTCAAATCTATACTTTTTTCATAAACCTGAAAAATAAGTTTTGGCCTACTGAGATTATTTATGAAATAAATAAATAAATGTTTTCATTGGTTTTTTTTGTTGTTTTTTTTTTCCAGTACCGGGGATCGAACTCAGGATCTTGCACTTGCCAGGCAGGCGCAGTGCCACTAATCTACATCCCCGGTCCAAAAAATAAATGTTTTACCTGTTCGAAGCAACACTTCAGGTGCAATATAATTGGGAGTCCCAACCAAAGAATGTGCTAGACATCGCTGGTGCTGGCGTGCAGCTCTGCGCTCCAGAGGTTTTAGTCTATCTCCACATCGACAGTTGGAGGGATCAGCCCACTCGTTGCTGAAATCCATGCTATCTTGCCGTGGATGGTCACCTATACAGTAAAAAGAAAGTAAAGCAACAAAGAAAATAGTAAATCTAAAGTCTAATTCATCTTTTCATATCTTGATTTAGGGTTAACATTCTCCCTTATGACAAATTAAAACACAAAGTGTGCAAAATCACCGGTGATGTTTAATACTAATAAGGACCAGTTTTCTGAGGTATCAATAGAAAAAGTTTTAAAGTAAGAAAAATACAAGAGTTAGTAGTTTACTCAATGCTAAATGGTAATAAGTCATGAGCAGCTAGGTTTATGATTATTCAGGGGGCTGGGGTATAGCTCAGTGTTAGAGGGCTTGCTTAGTATGCATAAAGACCTGGATTCAATGCACAGTACTGGGGGAAAAAAAATGTTACTAAGACTGTTGTGTTACTACTTTAGGAAAATTTTCAAACAAATCAGATCAGTGTTTTTTTCAACATACAGCAAAAATAAAAAGACAAGGTTCTTCATTCAGGCAACTTATATACAACACAACACATACACACATTTAAAAAACATCATGAGCTAAGTGTATAGCTCAGTATTAGAGGACATGTTTAAACACACACAAGACACTGGGTTCAATCCCCAGCATCCTAAAACAAAACAAAACAAAAAGACAAAAGCAAAGTCTGTGCATGATGGTTTGCATCTGCAGTCCCAGCTACTTAGGAAGCTGAGGCAGGAAGATAACTTGAACCCAGGAGTTCAAGGCCAGCCTGGGTAACATAGCAAGACTTGTCTCTTATTTAAAAAGAGGGTGAGGGTGACATGGTGAAGTATTCCACACAGAGAATCAACCCAAGTGACGAGACAAATGTGACTGGACAGCAATATTAGATTGGGTGGCAGGGGAGCCCTATTGAGAAGGTGGCCTTTCCTGGGATGTGAAACACAAGAAAGATTCAACCATTTGAAAATCAGAGCAAGGCTTTCCACAAAGAAACAACAACAGAGAGAAGACCAGGATAGCTGAGAAAGGGAGAATTTGAAAATGAAGCTGGAGCCAGGGTACATGGGTTTATATCATAAAAAGATACTGGAGAATCTAAAGCAAGATGACAAGATCTAATTTATGGTTATAAAAAGCAAACTTTAGCTACATTGTTGAGAAGAGACAAAAAGGGAATAAGGGCAAAAACAGAACAATTAAGAAGCTATAATAAGCTGGATGTGATGGTACAGGTCTATAATCTCAGCGCTCTGAGAGCCAGAGGCAGGAGATTCACAAGTTCCAACCCAGGCTGAGCAATTTAGTGACTTAGTGAAATCCTGTCTCAAAATAAAAGAAAAAATTTTAAAGGCCTAAGGACATGGCTCAGTGAAAAGGCCTTGACTTCAATCCCCAGTATCATAAATAATAAACAGATAGATAAATAGCTGTTATGAGCCAAGTGTGGTGATATGTGCCTGTAGTACTAACACTTAGGAGGCCGAGGCAGGCACATCCCTTGAGTCCAAGAGTTTGAGACCAGACTGGGCAATATAGTGAGACCCCATTTTATTTTATTTTTTTAATTTTTGATACCGGGGATCAAACTTGGGACCTTGAGCTTTTGAGGCAGGCGCTGGAACCACTGAGCTAAATTTCTGGCCCAAGACCCCATTTTAAACAATAAAAAATAAGAGGCTATTACATGTAAGCTTGGACTAGGATGGTGGTAACAGAGCTGCAGAGAAGTGAGTACATTCACAATATATTTTAGAGATGGAATAAATAAGACTTAATAGATTAGGGGTAGAGGACATGAGTAACAAAAGGATCAGGACAACCAGGTGGGTGGTGGTGGTACCATTTACTGAAAGAGGAAAGACTAGAGGGCAACAGATATGGTGTAGTAGTTAAGAGTTCCCTATTGGCAGTGTTAATTTTGAACAGCCTCTTTGTTAAATCTGAAAGGCCTATTTGAAATCCATGTGGAGATTTATCCAGGAAGCAGCTGGATACAGAAATCAGTGATTTCAAGGAAACCATTTCTGACAAGAGAGACTTGGAAATCACTGACAGATATTATATGGTATTTAAAGGCATAACTGGATAGTCACCTATAGAAATGTTTCTGAAGGGGCTGGGGGTATATCTCAGTGGCACTGTGCCTGCCTGGCAAGTGGAAGGTCCTAAGTTCGATCCCCAATACCAGAAGAAAAGAAAGAAAGAAATGTATCTGAAATTAATCTAACTGTAGTAATTACATTGTATCTGTGAAGATTGATTAAAATATAACCTTGATTCTCCCATGCAGATTCTTACTCAGAAGACTGGAATACTCAAAAGCCTAGGAATATTATTTTTAAGAAGAACCATAAATAATTAAGATGAATCTGGGGAGACACTAAATTCTATCCATTTAATGTCAATCTGGATGTATTCACAGAAATGAAGGAAGCTAGTTAATACCTCAGAGGACTGCTATGAATATTAGAGTATACATAAAGTACCTAGCATACAGTAAACATTTAACAAATGCTACATCAAATTACACTTCCATTAGCATTTGAAGGGATCTTGGTGAGGCAGTGTAGTATGTAGCAAAAATATGGGTCCCATAATAAGACAAACCTGGGTTGAAGACCTAGCCCTTACAACTTAATTTCTGTCTGACCTTGGGCAAGTTACTTCAGCTAATTAAAGTCTCATTTTCTTGATAGTACCTCACAGAGTCATATATGTAAAATGGTTAGCATTAAGTTGGGTGATAGTCACATAATGAAATCCTAAATAGCACTGAAAGTCAGTGTTATATGCCATAACATGGAGAAACCTCAAACATATAAGTCAGTATAGAAGAATACACAGGATTACATTTAAATAAATGTTCAAAAGTAATTAAAAATTAAATTAACATATTATTTAGGGATATATACATACATGATTAAAACATGGGGAAAAGTAATGAACTGATTATAAAATTCTGAAGTAATGGTTACCTCTGGAGGAAGATGAAAAAGTGATTAAGGGAGACTAAAATATTATTCTTGGTAGATATGGAGCTTCATTTAAAAATCACTTCAAGGGCTGGGGATTTAGCTCAGTGGTTCTGGCACCTGCCTCGCAAGTGCAAGGTCCGGAATTCGATCCCCAGTACCAAAACCAAAAAAACAAATAAATAAATAAAAATCACTTAAAAAAAAATCACTTCAAAAATGTTGTCTAATATATTTCAAAATAAAATTTTGTAAAGAGGTTAACTTACAAATGTTAATATTTACAAACAATCAAATTTAGCACTCAGGAGGCTGGGGTAAGAGGACTGAGAGTTTGAGGTCAGCCTGAGCTCAACAGCAAGACCCTGTCTCAAAACACCAAAATAAATAAATAAATAAATAAACAAACATACAGGACTCTTTCATTCTATAAATCTAACTAAATATATAAAGAACTCACCTCAATTTATCCAACAGAGTAAAGACCTGATGCAGGTCTTCTGACTCCCACCCAGTGATACCATCTTACATTATACTGCATAACCAAATCACATTATTATGAACTAAAATAAACTTTAAGAGTTCACTTACCACTCTGATAGTACTTGGAATCATGTGTCCATCTGAAGCCAGTGCAGAGGCCAAAGTCAGTCAATTTAATATGACCATCACGATCAATCAAAATATTATCAGGTTTAATATCTCTATGAATAAAACCCATTTTATGAACACTTTCAACTGCACAAGTAAGTTCTGCTATATAGAATCGTGCCAGATTTTCTGGAAATATTCCCATTCTAATTAACAGGCTCATCATATCACCTCCAGGAATGTAGTCCATTACAAAGTATAAATTGTCCTTATCTTGGAATGAATAATATAAGCGAACTACCCATTCATTGTCAGCTTCGGCCAGGATATCTCTCTCAGCTTTGACATGGGCGACTTGATTTCGAAGCAGAACATCTTTCTTTCGAAGAGTTTTTGTTGCATACAAAGCTTTAGTATCTACTTTTCTTGCTAGACAGACTTCACCAAATGCTCCTATTCCCAGCGTCTTTATCTTGACAAACATAGACTTATCCATTTTAGCCCTTTTGAGACGAATGTAATTAGACTCTTTTTGACAAAGCATCTTTCTCATTTGATCCTGGGCATCCTGAGATAATCCAACCTGGGTAAATAAACTAAATGTTAAATGAGGAATTTTCTTCAATATTGAATATTAAGAAGTAGCTTAGAAAAAATTCAGGCATATAGCATAAAGGTTAAATGCATAGTAATTTGTAATAAAGCATGTTAGAAATCTAGAATATATTTCAGAGAAAATTGATAATCAAAAGTGCAGCTTAAGAAATAGTTAACAGGATATACAAGGTGAGTATGAATGCAAATTCAGCTGTGGAGAACCAAAAGAGGATACCAACAGGCAGCTTTCTATTCTCTAGTACACTCAAAAATAGCTTCCAAATGTGCAATAAAACAAATGCCTGTTAACATGCATTTTCAATTCTGTCCATGCACCCCCACCCCGAAGCCTTTTCAGGACAAGGCCTCACTAAACTGCCCAGACTAGGGTAGAATTTGTGATCCTTCTACAGCATTTCAGAGTGCTAGGATTATAGGCATGTGCCTGGCTTCATCCCAAATTACAGGATTAGACTGCCTTTATTAAATGCTTCCTTTTGTGGCATGCCTCGGTCTCAGACATTTTTCCTTACATTTTATCTTTCATAAAAAAAAATTCTTTTACCTTAGTATCATGCTTCTTAAAAATGATGTACTATGAACAACAAAGGAATGCTTTCTTTAACCTACTAGCCCTTTCTCCCATTCTCAAGAAATAAACTATAGTTCCTGACAGTCTTTTCTCTTTCCTAGGTCATTAGAATAAGAGTGGGAGTCACAGCCCACCGTGAATGAAAATGCAAAGAGAGTTTCTCCTATCTTATTTAGAAGGGACCACCTGATTGAAAGTAACTTTCTGGTTGAAAATATCTTTTAGATATTTTGGAATATTTCAAAGAATAATCAGTGTGACTTATAAAGATACCAAAAAGCAGATAAAAACAAAAACCTTTTAAGTAGATACAGAATACGTGGATTTAGAGAGAAGCCAGGGATTTAACTTAGTGGTGCCACTGCCTGCCTCGAAAGCGCAAGGTCCCGAGTTCGATTTCCAGTACCAAAAAAAAAAAGGAAGAAAGGAGAAAGTTTCTTATGGCTAATAAAGAACTAAAGGGTCTAAATAGGAAAAGAATTCAATTGGAAATATAGGGTCTAATAAGACTAATTTAAATAAAGCAATCTCATGCTTCTGTTAGGATGCACATTTACATGCAAAATTTTTAAGGCTAGCATGCCAGATTTAGTACTGAACTGTTTCTCTTAAAATCTTACTTGCCTACACAGTAATGGAGGCTACAGAAGTCAGCAAAGCTTCCAACACCATAAAAGTTTAAATCAGCTATTAGTGAAAGTGAAGAGGAAAAAGGAAAAATAAACTAAGAAAATACATACAGACTCTAGTAAGAAATCCTAAGAACCACAATATGGGTAAGTCAGAGATTATCATGATATTTCTCATCTAACACAGTTCAATTTATAGTGAGAATAACAACATGTACGGTAAAATCAGATTTGGAATAATTATTTTAAAAGAACAGTTCTTTTAAGTATGTTGAAGAAGTTTAATCATAAATTAGACCTTCTTGGATTCTGAGTGGTATATTTAAGATTAGGAGTCAAATCTTTGAATTCTAAACATATGATAAGAATGATGTAGGGCCAGGGATTTAGCTCAGTGGTTCTGCCTCCTGCCCCGCAAGTGCAAGGACCTGAGTTCAATCCCTGGTACCAAAAAAAAAAGAATGATGCTGATGATAGTATCCATTAAAGAGCACTATGTGGAGTCACAACACAGATCAAATTAAAGCATTTACTTATTCTGATCTCCTTTATACTATATTTTTACTTAATAATTTCATTATTTATCTAGGACATTATAAAAATAAATTTATAGAGCCAGGGATTTAGCTCAATGGTGCCACCACCTGCCTCGCAAGCACAAGGTCCTGAGTTCGATCCCTGGTACCACAAATAAATAAATAAATAAACTTAGAAGGAAGGGGTAAATAACTGAAAGGAGACATCTCTGACACTTTCCTTTTTTTTTTTTAACACTAATTAGACCTATGTGATTAATAAACCTATAAACCCAAAAATTTACACTTAAAAAGAAATGTAAAGAAATATTTTTTTCTTTTTTCTTTTTTGGTACTGCAGATTGAACTCAGAGCTTCCACACTGAGCTACATCCCCCAACAACCTTTGCCCTTAGTTTATATTTTTGAGACAGTGTCTTGACAGGGTCTTGCTAAGTTGCCTCAACCTCCCAGAGCGCTGGGCTTACAAGTATGCGCCACCATGGCCCACAAAAAATGTTTCTCACATATGTCAAGAGATGACCTAGAGAGCCGGGGATTTAGCTCAGTGGTTTCGCCGCCTGCTGTGCAAGAGCAAGGACCCGAGTTCAATCCCCAGTACCAAAAAAAAAAAAAGAGATGACCTAGATATTCCTAGCTGATTTTTAATGTTCTAAGATAATGCATAAGCCAGAACATACCCCTTGGAAAAAAAAAAACAACACCTTGCTCCAATATTCATAAAAAGGGATAATGTACACCTAAATTTGTAGGCTATAAAGTTATATTTTTCTTAATTTACCCAAGAATTCTTTTACAGGAAATTGAGTAAATTTAAAAATACTATAAAGTGCTATATTCAAAAGTACTTTTAAAGTCTGCTCACTTAAAATGACTGATAATATATTACATTTAGTTATACGAAGAAAAAAACTGGAGCAAAATCTTTTAAAGTAAATACCAAGTAAATACATGATCAAATATAAAAATAGATATTTCAAAAGGTTTTACCCGCATCATCTCATTCTCCAGTTGTTTTTTACGATGTAGACGTTGCTGATGAGATTTGAGGACATTTTCTACATGTTGTTCCATAAAGAATTTAAATGCCTGAGGAGAGTAACTCTGAATACGAGATTCCCTTCGTTCTTCATCTCTCTTGTTTTTTCTAACAGTGATAGGTGAAGTTGTAATCTGCTTCTTTTCTTTATCCCCATTATCAACATTTTCAAAATTTTTCTCATCCTCATCTTCCTTGGGCAAACTAGACTGATCCTCTTTGCTAGATTTACTTATTGATTCATATGGAGGAACTGGTGGGTTCTGGTGTAGCAGATGTTTTGGATAAGGTGGTGGTGGGCCTTGATAGGTTGGAGCTTCAGCAACAGGTGGCATAACAGTCATATTTGAAGTGGTACCCTCAGAAAAAGGGCTAGGTTGAACAGTTTGAACTGGCTGTGGTATCCAAGAAGGGTGGGTAGGTGCTAAAGCAGTCTGTAGCTCTGGCTTTAATACACGCATGCTTTTCACAGGTTGTTGAATAGGAGCTGGTGTGATCGCAGTGACTGTTGTAGCTGAAGGTTGAGAATTAGCTGAGTGACTTGTTCTGTTTCCTAATGGGTTATTAAAAGAATTTGACCTGACTGGTATATTAGGTTGCCATGTGGGAATTTCATGTCCACTGCTTGGGGATGACTGGGCAGGAGCAGAAGATGACTGAGGCCAAGTTGTTTGCAGTCCAGGGACATTAATGTTGTAAAGTTCCATGTTATGACTATTTCTGTTTGGCACCATCATAGACTGAGGCACATTTCCATTTGTATATGATGAAGGCGCAGTAGATCCCCCTGTCTGTAAGGTGGAAGGGCTTTGTCCATTAGTTGGGGTCAGAGGATACGGAGGAGGTGGCTGCCGATTAACAGTGCCAGCAGGGACAACATTTTGGTGAATCATAAAATCAGTTTGACCACCATTCTGAATGCCAGATCTCCCTGGTGTAAAGTTAAATTTGTTAGAACTCTGCATGATGATTGGTTGTCTGCCAACGGGAACAGAACTAATGCCCCTCTGTCCCTGGTTAGGAGGATTCATGGTGGAAGTGTTAAGAGGTGGTGGTGGATAGCTCTCTTGCCACGCCCCAGGCGGAACAGGAGAGATTCGGGAAATTACGTATTCCATGTTCCCAGAATACCGTTTTGTTTGAGAGTTTGGTTCCCACGACGGAGGAGGTGGAGTCGTGCCTCGTGGAGGGGGAGTCTGGCCTCTTGGAGGGGGTGGTGGAGTGACACTCCTTACTTGAGGAGGTGGGAGGGGGTTTACTCTCTGTCCATTGTTTGGGTGAGCTTGAGCAAATGCTGTTATACCGGATCCAGACAGAGGTCTTCCTACATCTGTCTGTGAGTTGGGACTTTCAGAGTGATAGGCTACACTTTCTCCTAGAGGTGGGCCATGTCTCTGAGGAACCAAGGACTCCTTAGAACCTTTCCAGCTCTGTTTGCGGTTAATTGATTGTTGCACAATTCCTATGATCGTAAAAGAGAAAAATCATGTTTTTAATCTCTTAGTTTTAAAGAATTTAATATGGAATTTCGATACTCCTAAATATTACTCAATTCTCTTTCAAGAACTATTAAGAATGGGAATAACTTCAAGAAATCTGCTGCATAGTGAGTCTCTGTCTCAAAAAGCCAAAAAAAAAAAAAAAATCTTTTCTACAACACGATTTGTTAATAGCAATATATTGTATTCTTGAAAATTGCTGAGATTTTAAGTGTTCTTACTACAAAAAATACATGAAGTACAGCATATATTAATTAGCTCAGTTTAGTTCAAAAAGAAAAAATTATAAGATTTCAGTAAGTGATTTTATTTTATCTTTAAAATTTTTATTCCTTTTTTATTTTTTTTTTTGGATTTTGTGAGACAGGGTTTTGCTCTGTAGTTCATCCTTCCTTGAACTCACTGTGCAACCCAGGCTGGCCTTGAACTCAGGCCATCCTCCTGGCTCAGCCTCCCGAGTGCTGGGATTACAAGCATGTGTCACTATGCTTAAAATTTTATTCTTGACTAAGTAATACTTTCTCATTGCTCAAAATTTACAAGATACAAAATGGTACCTGGTCTGTCTCTTACCCTACCAATTTCTTTCCTTGAAGGTATTCAAAGTTATCAGGAAGTACAAAATTCTGTACAGATATCATCTTATATATATGCATGTGTATTTGTAGATAAATTATTAGAGGAGAAACTACTGAGTCAAAGGGTATATTCATTTGTAATTTTGACTGATGTAACTACTAATTTTATTTATTTATTTTATTTTTTATTTTTTGGTACCAGTGATCAAACTTGGGACCTTGTGCTTTCGAGCCAGGCGCAGGCACCACTGAGCTAAATCCCCAGCCCCGAAACCACTAATTTTAATATGGCTTTTAAAACAAGTTAGCAGGGAATAATCAGCTGAGCACTTAGTAAGGTATAGATTTTACAGGAATTTTAATAGAATAAAATTTTAACTTTAATGGAATTTCCAAGTAAATGAAATCAGCAAGAAAATATACAATATCAAAAAATGAAGCATTTAAATGCAACAGTCTGGTCACTTGGGAAAAATACGTAATACATTAAAAACAAACTGCTGGGGGTTAGAAAATGCTAGCCCAAAGCTTTGACATGCTGAACTAGAGAGACAGTCTTAGAATTAAGTCAGAATGAAGGTCTCTTTGACTTTCCCCTGCCTTTGTCTCTCTCTCATCACCGATCCTTTCTCTGTGAAGCCCTTATCTGAGTAAGGCAGTTCCCTTTCCAGAAGGAATGAAATTGTTAAGAAATATTATTAACCAGAAAGGATTAACCACAGAAGTGACTGAAAAGCAAATTCCAGACTTAAGAGTCCAGAGGAACTTTGTCTGAAGTCTATTCTTGGGTTCATTCATCTCCTCTACAAATCATTTACTACTCTTCTGAATTTGTCCCCCCCCCCCCCCCCCCGCCCCGCAACACTTTCCTCTTCCCTATGAAGGTGGTATTTAAGTCTCAACAATTTGACCCCTTTGACTTTTTGTATTTCATATGGCTTCTGTACACATAAATTTGTATGACTTTGCTCATGTTAATCTATTGTTAATTTATTTCAGAAGATTTAAAGATTTGAACCTTCAGAGAGGGCAGGAGGAATTCCTTTCATTGGTATTATACACTGGTATAAAAAAACATAAAATATACATTCCAGAAGGATTAAAGATTAAAGATAAAGCTGTATAAGCACTAAAAGAAACAAGCCATTCAACAGTTTAGGAGTACCTCTTTTATATCTCTTGGGAAGTTCTTCCCAAGCATTTCAAAGATGAAGATCTAAATATGTGAAACACCTATGACTATTCAAAACAAAACAAACATCTACAAATGTGAAAGATCACTATTATCATGGGAGAAAATATATATAATAACACATATGAAGGGAAAAAAAGCAGTAACATTCAGAATGTAGTTTAACACTGCACTGCATGTAGGATGGGCAGCTTTTGGATCTGTGACTTCTAAGGAAATCACTCTGGGCAAGCCAGACAAGTCCTCTGGCCACCAGGCTCTGGCTCACTTTCCTTAGATGGTCAGTGGAGACCGAAACTACCATGTCACTCATTTAGCTTTTATCAGTTAAAATGTTTTATCAGTTAAAATGTAAGTCTCCACAACCCTGGAGTATATATGGCCGTCCCTGCTGTGTTATGCCTCTGTTAGAGCCCTCTACATTCTTCCACCTCCCAGACTCCTCTGCCACACCTTCCAGATTGCACAACCAGCCAGTGCTTTTCTATCACTGACTTTTATTCCCAGCTTTCCTGCTACCATTTTGAAGCTAGTTTTCTTCTGCTGTTGTTACTTTCAACTCTTTGAAATTAAGATTTTCCTTAAAACTCAACAGGGCCCCTGGAGTGGGGATTTAGCTCAGTTGGCACCACGCCTGCCTTGAAAGCTCAAGGTCCTGAGTTTGATCCCTGGTACCAAAATAAAATAAAATAAACAGGGCCAAAAGGCAGGGTTCTATCTCTGCTCTCCATTTATGATTCTAGATCATTATTCTTTTTAAAAAGCCATCTATTTGCCTGGCATTTGCAAAGCCCTGGGTTCAATCCCCAGCATGATGAACAATAAAAGCCAGAGCTTTTGTAGCTCATCCTATCTGAAAAACCAGGTCCACTCCCCTGACCTAATGAGCTCCTACTCCCTTTCTCATTCATCCACAACTATGGCATTTGATCTACCCTAAGGCCTATAACCTCAACATAGCTCCTTGACCCTCTCCCTCCACTCGAAGTACCACTCTTTAAATCATATTTCAAATTTTGGTATCACTCTTACCTGTTCTTCTTTCATAATGAACCATACAAGGTTTATACTGTCCAATTCCTCTTTTGATTAACCTTACTACAGAAGTTCCTCAACCTGATCAAGAGCTCCAAGATTAATCCTCTACTTCATCAGTCCTCTTTTTTTTTGGTACCGGGATCGAACTTGGGTCCTTGCACTTGCACAGCAGTCAGCGAAACCACTGAGCTAAATCCCTGGCCCAAAGTATAGGTGTATATCACCACGCCCGGCACTTTTTTTTTTTTGGTACGGGGATGGAACTTGGGTCCTTGCGCTTGCGCAGCAGGTGGCGGCACCACTGAGCTAAATCCCCAGCCCCATCAGTCCTCTTTATGGCACATTTGATCTAGTATAAATTCATGGCCCATCACTTCTTAATTTCCCCTATTGCTTTTCTTTTTTCATGCTTTCAATTCATTCATTATTTATTGAGCATCCACTATATACCAGGTCCCCCTCTAAGCAATCCAAATACATTAGTGAACAAGATAATGCCCCTAGACCCAGGGAACCTATATTCACAGGGGAGGACACAGACAATAAACAAGTGAATAAACAAAGTAATTTCAGGGCATAATAAATTATTCATATAAAACATAAATGGTGGGGAGGGAAGGAAGGAGAGGGAGAGAGAGGGAGAGAGAGGGAGAGAGAGGGAGAGAGAGAGAGGGATAAGGAACAGAAAGGAATGAAAACCAGTAGTCAGAAAAGGCTCCTCTGGGAGAGGACATAGGAGCTAAAACTGGGTAATGGTCCTGAGGTAGGAGCTTGGTATTTTCCAAGAACAAAAAGAAGCCGGAGCTGGGCATACTGGGGATATGGTGATACACAACTATAATCCCAGCACTTGGAAGGCTGAGGCAGGAGGATTGCCAAGTTCAAAGCTGGGCTGGGCTATATAGCAAGTTCAAGGATAGCTTGGACTGTGTAGCAAGACGCTGTCTCAAAAAGAAAAAAAAAAAGAAACAAGTATGTCCAGAGAGCAATAAATGAGAGGAAGAGAATACTAGATAAAGTCTGTGAGGTAGCCAGGTTATGGAGAGAAGTTATGGAAGGAATGAAAAAACACTAAAGATAGAGGAAGAAGAATATGCTCTAAGGAAGGACTTCAACTCCCTTTTTAGTATTAGTCTCTTTCTAATTTATTGTGCACTTGTTTAATAAAACTCTGGTCATGGGAAATTCCAGATATTTCCCTTTTTTTTTTTAACCACATCTACCAGAAGAGATGATATAACAGTAAAGTTGATTCTACTATAAATTCATGACCAGCATCTTCAAATGACATCAGCACTACCTGGAAATCCTATTTTTTCTTTAGTCTCTATTGTTGCCATCCTTGGTCTCCTAAATTGCTTGGCCAGCTTGTCAGCCACAACTCCTAGCAAGTGATAGTTTTCTACTTCAGAGAAAAGACATCAAAAAGTAACTTCTTGATCTAACCTACCTACCACAGCCTGTCTGCTCCTATTATGGCTGCTCCTCTTTCCAGTAAAGCTAACAATCCTTCATCCTACGCTTTGGATCTTATCTCCTCCTTTACTTGAACCATTCTTGAATATATAATTTCATCCTCTTACATAGTCATCCAATCAGCTTCTAAACAAATATAAGTCTTTCCTATTAAAAAAATAAGACGACTCTTCCATTCCTATTCACCTCAAAGTATTATCTGGTGCTGATGTAAAAACTGATACTGGCCTCCTATGAGTTAAGTGGTAAGTATGGAAGTTGAGAGAAGTGAGGGATTTTACAGATTAAAAAAAAAAAAGTTTTTGTTTTTTGTTTTGGCAGTGCTGGGGTTTGAATCCAAGGCCTTACAAATACTAGGCAAAGGCTCTATCATTAAACTCCGCCCCTCTTTTCTGGTTTTTTGAGACAAGATCTTGCTATGTAGTTCAGTCTGGTCTTGAACTCACTACATAATGCAGGGTGGTTTTAAACTTGCAGGGATCCTCCTGCCTCAGTGCAGGGATTACAGGCATGTACCATCATGCCCAGCCCTATCCCTTTTTAATTTTTATGTATTTTTGAGATACGGTCTTGCTAAATTGTCCAAACTGGTCTTGCAGTTCTCCAGTCTCAGCCTGAGTAGCTGAGATTACAGGCTTGCACCACCACACCTCACTTTTTACAGAAATTTGACAAAGTAATCAGATGTCTGTTAAATCTAATAATAAAATATTTAGATTTTACTTTATATGCCACTTTTATTTCTTTGTGACATCAAAACTTGGTGAAGGAGCCATCCATAAGTGCCTCACTAGAACCATCCCTATAAAACCTTATCATTCTTCAGATATCAGGTGTTTTTCAGGAAGGTTTTCTGTTCTTGATTAGATCAAGATCCTCTCTACAGCAGTTCACAGTACCATGTAATTCTCCACTCCTCATTCATACTTACATAGCTGTAATTCTATGTATGTTTGTTAAATTTATTTGAGTTCCCATTACTAGAATGTAAACTCTACAAAAGGGCAGAACTTATTCAATGTCAGGCAAAGGGCCTGAAACAGCAGTTGATCGATAAAAATTTGTTGAATAAAAGGAGGAACGAAGACCTCTTATAAGTCAATAAACAAATACAAGATTAACAAAGACATACAATGGCAATTTAAAAATAACCAATAAAGGTGTAGTTCAGTGGTAGATCATGTCTTATCAGTACATGCAAGGCCCTGATTTCAATCCCCAGCACCAAACAAACAAACTGTGCTGGGCATGGTGGCACATGCTCATAATCTCAGGAGGCTGAGGCAGGAGGATTGCAAATTCAAAGCCCAGCCTATGCAACTCAGGAAGAGACTGTCTCAAAATAAAAAAATAAGTATGACTGGGGATGTGGCTCAGCACTCCTTGGGTTGAATCCCGGATATTGCAAACAAAACAAAACAAAACACAAAATAACCATTAAATGTTCATCAGTGATCAAAGAAATGTAAATGTAAAATGAGACAATATTATTAATTAAATAGACGAAAATAATACATAGTACTGGCTTTACAAATATTTGGCATTCTTATTGTCAGCAGATATGGAAAATATAAGTTGGTACCACTCGTTTTTGGGATGTGGGTACTGGCAACTGAACCCAGGGCTCTATACTGAGCTACATCCCCAGCCCCTCCCCCCCTCTTTTGAGACAGATTCTTGGTAAGTCATTAAATCACCCAGGCTGGACTTGAATTTGTAATCCTCCTGCCTCAGCCTCCCAAAGTGCTGGGATTACAGATGTAGACACCATTCCTGGCTTACTTGGTATCACCTTTCTAGACAGCAATATCTACGGAAAACTGTAAATATTTTCCAAATATACATTTAAAATTTATTTTTAGAAAATCATTAGGTATATACAAAGATTTAGGTATACAGGTCAAAAAACAAAATCAAAACAAAAATGGGAGATTGGTTAAATAAAGTATGTAGAGCTATTAAAATTATTTTAGCTGGGGATTTAGCTTAGTGGTGCTGCCACCTGCCTTGCAAGTACAAGGACCTGAGTTCGATCCCCAGTACCAAAAAAAAAAAGAAAAAGAAAATTATTTTGTAGGGCTGGGGATAAAACTCATAGGTAAAGCATATGCTTAGCTTGTGTGAGGCTATGAGTTCAATCCCCAGCATCATACACATAAAAAATATTAAAATAAAAATTGGTAGAACATTTAAAAAATCAAGTTACACATAGTATATCAAATGAATAAGGTAGGATTTGGTATCATACCATTTTTTGGCCTAAACAAGAATCAAAATATATACAATCTTACTCAGGTTTCCCACGGGATAAAAGGATGGGAAGCAACACACCAAAATACAGTGGTTAACAATGGCCAGGAGTAGTGGCACTTGCCTGTAAGCCCAGCACACTGGGAGGCAAAGACAGGAAGACTGCAAGTTTGAGCCCAATCTAGGCAATTTAGTGACCTTGCAAGAGACCTTGTCTCAAAATTTAAAAATTTTTAAAAAGGGATGGGGATGGATGTAGCTCACTGTGAAGGCCCTGGGGTTGTTCAATCCCCAGTAACCACACACGCACACACACACACGATGTTTTCTTCTGCTTAACTGTTGTCTAAATATTCTATGATGAATGCATTTTACTCTTAAAATATGAAAAAAAATTTTAAAAAAAAAACCAAGAGTTTGAATGATGGTATTTGGGGGTAAAAAAGATGTGTTTCAGTTGCAATACAACCAATCAAGTAGTTCTCAACCTAAACTCCTGCTTATCAGAATTACCTATTAACTTTTAAATGTGAGGGCCCCATCCTCAAATTCATTTTAGTATAACACTGTAACATTATGATCTTAATTTGAGACTTTCAATTAACTGGGATGCTTTTAACAATTTCTAAGACCAAAGATTTTATATAATTAAGTGCTATAAAACTATACCATAAAATAGACTAGAAAAAAAAAAAGCTTGATTAATCACCTGGCTTCATGCTGGCATTAATAGGTCTGGGAGCTGCTGTAGCCATCTGTTCCCGCCGAGGATCTTGGTAACTCATTTTACTAATAAATTCAATTGCTGCTTCTATACTCCTATTATTAGTTTTCTGCAGAGCCTGTATAACCATATCCTGATAAGAAGTTAAAAAAAAAATGAAACAAAATTTAAATCTTGTAATTAGTAGGAGGGAAAGAACAATATGAATTCTACCAGAGGAATTCATAACTATGACAGACAGGGCCTTAATCCACAATATTAATGTCCTATTTGTAACTACTAAAAACAAAACAACACCACTATCACAACAAAAGCAACCATAAATCTCAAATTACTAAAGTAAACAAAATAAATCCTTTAATATATTTCTTTAATATTTTCACCTTTATGTAACAATTTTTCCTTCTAGGATTTTCTTTGGGGTACAACCACGGCAACATAACTCTGATTACTTCTCGTTTTTAATTTCATTCTTATATAAACAGAGACTACCAGATTGTTTACAAAATTATCAATCAAAATACTAGAAAACACTTCTTTGTATCATTAAAGCATTTTATGAAGCGCTTTTGCCATTATGTATACTGGTAAAAGAACAATGTAGTTCTATTTTTCCCTCTTGGAGTTTACATTTTCAGGAAACTATTTACAGGGACACAAATACAGGACAAATGATAGAAGAAAGTAGATATAATTATGTGATGAAGACTTTAGGTGGTTAGATGGTATAATGGAAGAAACAAGATTTGGAATCAGTCTAATTCGAGGTTGAGCAGCTTCACGTTACAATTGTGTGGATTCTGGTAAGTTATTTAATATTCCAGAGCCTCAGTTTCTTCAACTGTAATAAATTTTCAAGGTTGATTCAGGGTTAAATTAGAAAACATGGAAAGCACATAAATGCAGTGCCTAGAGCTTAAATACCAGGTGTCTTCCTTCACTCCTTGTCCTTTATGTTAAGCATAAACATAAATTATAAAGTAACATGCAGAAAGCATTCAGGTGTGCATTTATCAAGAAGAGGACAGGCCGGGGATTTAGCTCAGTGGTTACACCGCCTGCTGCGCAAGTGCAAGGACCCGAGTTTGATCCCCGTTACCAAAAAAAAAAAAAAAGAAGAAGAGGACAACTACTTACTTGTTCTAGAGGACAAAATATTTCAAATGATATTCTAAAATGTTGTTATGGCTTAGAAAGACCAATGGGTGAAGAGGCTACTAACAGATGATTATGCTATTGGAAATGAAAGTGAGGCCAAAGAAAGGTTGTGGTAGAGCCAGGGGTGAGCATGTCTATAATCCCAGGTACTCTGCAGACTACAGCAGGCATTTGAAGCCAGCTTGGGCAACCTAGCAAGGCCCTATCTCAAAATAAAAAGTTAGGCTTGAAGCTCAGAGGTGGAGCGTTTGCCTAGCATGTGAGAGGCCTTAGGTTCAATCCTCAGTACAACAAAAACAAAGCTGTGATAGAAACCTATTGCCTACCCAAGATACATAAGATTCATTATCATTTTCTTGCAAAAGTTACTGATCTTGTTGGAAGAAGCATGGTTTCTGAAATAATTTTGCTATTTTGGATTTGGGAACTGGTCCTTTGTGCATCCTGTGTGCTGGAGTATGTTGCTACTGTGAAGTGAAATTCAAGAGATATCTCCTGAGAGTCCTAGACTCTGACATCTTTAAGAGGCCAATGATAACTATTTAAACTGAATCACTATCCTGTTTAAAGCATTATTTTTAGTTTTGTTAAAAACAACCAAACTCGGGGCCGGGGATTTAGCTCAGTGGTTTTGCCGACTGCTGCAGAAGCACAAGGACCCGAGTTTGATCCCCAGTACAAAGAAAAACAAAAAATAAAAAACACCCAAACTCAATTCCTTACTGAAGCAAGGGTAATGTGGTCCATTTTATGCCAATTAGACTTTGCAAATTTGCAATGAGATACAAAGAAGTTAATGTCTCAATGTATATGCAAACTTAAAATAACACAAATCACCTAAAATTAAAATTCATCTGAGTGCTTAATTTTAAAACTGGTTAAGCCAAGTGTACCAATAACTATGCTATCATTTACCACATGTCAGTGCATGTCAGCTGGCAAGAAAATTGGTACCCATCCTATTCTTTTTCAGTATGGGAATCATTCTTGTTAAATTTCAGCCTGTGAGTTTGGTGATTATTATGGTAGCTTTTAAAAAAATATTTACTGCTATGTTTTAAAATATATTTTATATCTATAACATGAAATAAGGGTGTTAGTGTCAGTGTGAAAAAGAACACTTTCAAACCAGTAACTTTTGGATGTAAGTCTTATGTGACAGAAAACATTAGGTCCACATAACTATACCTGTTTCTAGGTAAAAATACACTCCGGTGATTGTGTACTTTTTTTTCCCCTTTCTTTCTTATTTTTGTGGTACTAGGGATTGAACCTAGGAGCACTCTGCCACTGAGCTAAATATCCATCCATTTTTATTTTTTTAGAGATACAGTCTTTTTAAGTTGCCCAGGCTGGCACTGAACTCATGATTCTCCTGCCTCAGCCTCCCAAGTAGATGAAATTATGGGCATGTGCCACTGTACCCAATGACTGTATATCAATGTGTTTCAAGAATGTATTGCTGCTTGGGGTGGAGATTTAGCTCAGTGGCATGACAACTGCCTGGTAAGCACAAGATCCTGTGTTTGATTCCCAGTACGGCTGGGGGATGGGGGGGTGTGTGGCTGCTATTTGACCTTTAATTTTTGTTTGTTTTTGAGACAGGGTCTTACTATATAGCCCAGGCTAGCCTCGAACTCATGGCAATCTTCCTGCCTCAGCCTCCCTGAGTGCTGGGATTATAGGCATGTGCCACCATGCCAATTCTTAACATTTAATCTTAGGAAGAAATTAATCTAGAAATATTTGAACTTTTAATTCTACAGAGTCACCAGAAACATTCTCAAGAGAGAAAAAGCAACTGTCTTGAAACTGGCAATGTTCATAAAAGGAGTACGTTAGGGTTTATGAAATAGCAAAAAGAATGAGATGAAAACTAGGTAAGAATTTTGAAGTATCAAGTTAGGCTCTTGATGATCTACCGTATAATAGGAAACTACAAAATAAGTGAATCAAGTAGACTGCAGAAGCACACTGCCACATCCTTTATATCACTATTAGTATATATAATACTGTGCCATCACTATTTGTCTAAGCACTTGCAGTGAAATGTCTAAACACTTTCAGTGAAGCAACATTACTTAAAGGTTATCAGTGTCATAAAGTGACAATTTTGAGATGTGTGACTGGACTAAAGCTAACATGTCTTTGTAATGCAAAGCCATTATTTTTTATTACTGCCAATAAATGAAAAATAGGACATGAGAGCTGGGGATGTTGCTCAGTAGTACAGTGCTTGCCTAGCATGGTCCTACCAGAGTCAATCCCCAGCACTGCATGCACTAAGAAAAAGAAGAAGAGGAGGAGGAAGAAGAAGACATTGAACAATCCCTTAGATTTCTTAAAACTATGTACATCAGAAAGAACTTTTAGGGGCTGGGGATTTAGCTCAGTGGTTTCGCCACCTGCTGCGCAACCGCAAGGACCCGAGTTCAATCCCCAGTACGAAAAAAAACACAAAACTTTTAAGTCCCTTAAAGATATGGACCATGTCTGATATGACTTATTATCCGTACTGACTGGTTCACACATCTATAGAGTGACTTATCTGACATAACATATTACCAGCTAGTGGCCATTAAACCTGTGTGATTTGATAAACTCTCTTAACAGTATATAAAAGGAAAGAATAACATCAGTAATCTCTTTATTCTTTGCCTTTTGGCTAAGTAGGAAAAAAGTGCTCTGGAGAATCTACATTCCAGCCATTTTCTTAATCCTATGCAAAAACTATTCTAAGTCCTTTTTCTTCTCCCTCTCTCTAATTTCTGGTACAAATTCAGTATTTTTAGAGCATGTAAGTATAAAAATGATAGGAAATAATTTTAATCAAATAGGTAACTAGAATGAGCTGAAAAGAATAACCTTTTCTCTTCCCAGTTTAACTGTAAATTTCTCTTTTTTTTTTTTTGTAAATTTCTCTTTTAAAATGTTGTAATTCAGACTTAGGTTCTCTTCTTTTTTTTTTTTTTTGGTACCGGGGATCGAGTTCGGGTCCTTGCGCTTGTGCAGCAGGCGGCGAAACCACTGAGCTAAATCCCCAGCCCGGTTCTCATTTTTAAAATTAAAAAGACACCAGATAATAATGTTTCCATTAATAAGACCATAAATACAACAAAACAGTGGTTCCATATAGCCTAGATGTGCATGCAGTAGGCTATACCAACTAGGATTCTGAGTGTACTATAGGATAGTCACACAATGAGGAAATTGCCTGATAGTTCTTTCTTCATTGATTAATGAATGACTGTAGAGTGATGTCTAGAAATGTGGTCACCAAAATTTTAATAGTGAAAGAATTTTAAGAGTAGCTGTCTTTGTATAATAGAACTAAAGGTAATTTTACATTTCCTATTTTTTAATTTGTTTTTGTTTTTGTTTTTGGAGACAGATTTCACTCTGTAGTGCAAGCTGGCTTAAACTCACTGTGTGGCCCAGGCTGGCCTCAGACCCGTGACTATCCTCCTGCCTCAGCTTCCTGAGTGCTGGGATTATAGGCAGGCGCCACTATGCCTTTATTTTCAAATTTTTTACTCAAAGTGTAAGTAAATTAAAGAGCAAAATCAAAGACAGATAATAGGAAACAGAGATAATCTTTTACAAATGGGAAGAGAACCAAAAGATGAAGAGAGAAGAAAGGGAAGTAAAAAGATGTGTTAAGTACATGAACTAACTCTCCATGATGAATGTAATCATTATGTGCTGAAAACTTACACTAATAAAAATAAAATTTTAATTTTTTCATTTTCCATAAGTGATTTTTATCTAAAATGATTTCTGCCATCTAAAATATTCACTCACAAGATATAGTAAGTAAATCTGATTATTAACCTAAACAAAATATGATTAAATAAATGTGCTATGAAAAGTCTAAAAATTTAAACTTCATATCCTTGGAGCTATCATTTCTCCAGCAGCCACTGAGCTTGGCGAGCTCATATTTCACACAGATGTCCTCCCCCTACCCTCACCTGTGGCTTTCTTTTCTTTTCTTTTTTTTTTTTTTTTGGTACTGGGGATCAAACTCGGGTCCTTGCGGTTGTGAAGCAGGCGGCAGGCAGCAGAACCACTGAGCTAAATCCCGGGCCCACCTGTGGCTTTCTTCAACTGCACTTCCACTGACTTCATGAACTGATCTTTTAAAATTCTAGAAACTCCAAATTTTGTTACAGATAGCAAAGAAGAAACTAAAGAAATACAATTATTTTGTTATAATAATTAATTGAGCTGTAAACATTGTCGATGGAATATACAAATTTGTATACACAGTCAAATTCTTAGAGCACGAGCTCACTAAAACAAGTGCTATTACACCAGGGATTTAGCTCAGTGGTTCTGGCGCCTGCCTTGCAAGCTCAAGATCCCGAGTTTGACTCCTGGTACCAAAAAAAAAAGTGCTATTACACAGTACAAAGTAAGAACAAAAGTTCTTACCTCATCAAATCCAGCAGCCTGCAAATCTTGAAACATTTGTGGATTAACTTCTGAAGTACTCCTGCAGGAAGAACTTGTTTCATTTGCAAATGGTAGTAAAGAGTTTCGAATTTCTTGCAAGGCTTTATGATATGTCCCAAATTTGGGTGGATTTCTCACTTGTCGAGCATCTTCAGTTGACATTTTGGTCATGTTATACTCAGCCTTAGCAGCATCAGATGGTTTGGATAAATTCCTAAGGGATTCTCGAATTTCTTGCAACATTTGCCGGCTGCTGCCAGTGTAGTTACTGGCAGGAAAGGTCTTAGGCCTCATTTGTCTATATCCTTCTGGCTTTTCACTCCTCTTCATGAAAACATCTATATATGTAACCCACACAAATGACTTCTTTATGAGCTAGTTGATAGATTCAGAGCTTTCTCTTGAACAAAAGTGAAAATAATTCTTTGATGAAGTCTTCAGGAACGTTAAAATCCCTAATAATCTAAATAACCCTGTGAAAGAAAAAATAAGTAACAGCTATAATTGATAAAGCAGTATAACGGACCTCACTGATACAGGAGTGAAGATATCCAGCTTATATTTCTGGTTCCATTAAGGATTTACTATAGGACCAGAACAAGATACTTGTCCTCTCTGTGCATATTTCCTAGTCTGTAAAATAGATGTACCTTATTTGCCTCAAGCAGTACAGACATTCTTTGTTTAATAACTGAGTCCAGTTTCTGTGACTAGGTTGTTAAATGAATTGGTCACTAAATGAAGAATTGTATGTAGTATGTACATTACAACATTTAGAACAAAGAAATGGTCAAAGGAAACTCCAACCTGATGACTTTGCATTTATTTAACACATGCAGTACTATAATGTGTAACAGAACAAAATTATAGTACTGTACTGTAGAGTACAATCAACAAAAATTACAGTACTGTATAAACAAAGTATACTGTACTGGACCCCCCCCCCAAAAAAAGACATTGAGGCTCTATAAACAAGATGTACAGAACTGTACCAAAAAAAGATATGTCATAAGTCTGAGCAGCTGGCCATAAATCTGAACAGTGTGCCTCAGTACTAAGCCTGAACAGTTGTTAAACAGGTAGATCGTTAAACGAGGAATTCTGTAGCTTTGATAAAAATAATAATTTTAAGAGTGCTTTAGTGCTGGGTGTGGTGGTACACACCTGTAATCAATTCAAGCACTCTGGGAGGCTGGGAGGCTGAGGCAGGAGGATCACAAATTCCATCTCAGCCTGGGCAACTTGGTAAATTTGTGAAACCCTGTCTCAAAAAAATAAAAAAGGGGATGTAGCTCAGGGCAAAGGCACTAGGTTCAATCTCCAGTACTGTAAAACAAAACAAAGCAAAACAAAACAAAATGTACATAAGTATACAAAGCATATTAAAATGCAGATGATTACCATGTAAATAAAGCAATAGACAACCTGTCATTATCAACTTCACCCTAAATGCTCCAATTTTAAATTTTACAAATTAAGACTTCAGTACGGGATTTCTTTAGAAGAAAAGATACTGCTGCTTTAAGAAAGTTTTTAAACCCCTAGTCTAGCTCTTATGGTTCAAAAAGAGGTGCTTGGGTTTATTCCCTAAACTAGAATGGAACTATACAGACCATAAGCTTATCAACAATGGGATAAGGAAAGGATCTCTGAGGTCAACTTGTCTCATTCCTCACTTATACAAATATCTTCTACAACACACTGGAAGAATGGTCACCTAAGGTCTACTTAACTGTCCTCATTGATAGGGAAAATTACTAACCCAAAAAAGCCATTTCAGACTGGGGATTTAGCTCAGTGGCACTGCACCTGCCTCGCAAGCACAAGTTCCTGAGTTTGATCCCTGGTACCAAAAAAAAAACCTATTTCATTTGTGACCTGTAATAATAAAAGTATTTTCTTCATGTGAAGCAACATAAAATTTCACCCAGTGCCTACTGACAGCCTGTTACTTGTCACTGCTAAACAATTTTGCCTATCTTCTTATCTAACTATCCTAATAACTCTATGAGGTAGGCTGGCTATTTCTACCTTGTAAATGAAAAAATTAAAGTTTAGAGAGTATGTTAAGAGTATGTTAAGTGATATTGCTGAGATTTGAAACAATTATCTACTGAGAGCCTATTTCTAGACTCATTAAATAATTAACATTCATGTTACATAAAGATGTCTATAATTAGATATGTAGATATTCCTATTATTTAGCTTTTTACCCTATGTTACTTCTTCACAGAACCTTTCCTTGGTCACTTGATAACCCTGCTTTAAGGATTTTTTTTCTTTTTTTTTCTTTTCTTTTTTTTTTTGGTACCAGGGATTGAACTCAGGACCTTCTGCTTGCAAGGCAGGCACGGTGTCACTGAGCTAAATCCCCAGCCCAATGATCCCTTTTTTCTGGTACCAGGGAATTCTATTAATTTTCTTTTAGTCCTTAATAGGGTTCCTAGATGGTTATGGTGGTGCATGCCTGTAATCCCAGCACTCGTAGAGGCTGAGGCAGGAGGATGTTTTGAATTTAAGGTCAGCCTGGGCTACACAGTTCAAGGCTAGCCTGAACTACATAGCAAGACCATGTCTCAAAAAACAAAAACAAAACAACTAAGATCCTCTCACTTTTCTCTCCTACTTCTAATATTTCTTTATTTTTCAAATTTTACTTTATTTTTCCATTCCCCAACTCTTCTATCTTTAGCAGTATTACTACTAAGATTAATTTGTAGATATGCAGTTAATTCTATGCTATCACTGTTGAATTATTTTCTCTTGTCAATGGTTATATAGTTGATTCATCTAGTAAATATTTACTTACTTATTTATTTTTTTGATACTGGGGATCCAACTTGGGACCTTGCACTTGCTAGGCAGGCGGCAGCACCACTGAGCTAAATCCCCGGCCCTAGTAAATACTTACTGTATGTCAATATTTGGTTTGTTTTTCTGTCTATATTATATTGCAGATCTCTTCTATTGTTAAGGGTGGTACAGTGGTAGCTTTTATTGATTCATAAGGTATATCAATATCCAGTTTGTCTTTGACTCTAGTATTACTGATTTTATTGCTGCTGCCAGGGTGGCAAAATTGTTGTTATTAATTAATTTTTTACTTTATACCAATACAGTACCTGGTTGGTGTCTGTGTCATCATCAACACCATGGTACATTTCCAGAGAACTGGGAACTAGGCCAATTACACCGCACCCTCCCCTTCCTAAATTAACACAGGTGGTTGGACCATGAGACAGAGGCAAAAGGCTACAGTTCATCATGCCCAGAGTGCAACACTGGAAAGCAGACACTAAGTAATATTACCACCAAAGTCTTTCCACTATAATAGACTTTCAATCTCAGCACACAAAGAATAAACATGAGAAAACAAGGCAACAAATTCCCAACTCCCCCATGGGGCACTGATTAGGAGGAAATCAAAAACCAAATAGCTGAATTATATGAAGTGATGAAAGAAGAGGACCTCCCCCCCCAAAAGAGATTGATAAGGTGCTCAACAAGCTCAAAGATGATATACCTAAAGAGATAATGGGCTTAATAATATGATCAATGAGCTTACAGGAAACATTATCAGAAAGCTAGCTGAGCTAAACAAAATGATACAAAACATGAGTGAGCAGTTTAACAAAGAATTGGAATCTATGAAAAGATTCAAAACAGAAATCCAGGAGATTAAAAATTCTATTGAAAGTATGAGCTACAGAAGTGACCAATGTGAGGACAGTGTCAAAACTGAAAGATAGGCTAGAATTTGGTGAACATATACTCAGAGATACCTTGAAAATAACAAGAGATCATGAAAAATGGATCCAACAGCTGTTAGATAACACAAAAAAGACTAATCTAAGAATAACTAGAATTATTGAAAAATCAGAAGACATTAAAAAAATCTTCATAGAAATAATAGCAAAAAACTTTCCAAGTATGGGGTAAGAATTTAACATAGATAAGTGAGGTATACAGAACCCCAAATAGCCATGATCAGAAAAGAATTTCTCCATGACACATCATAGTCAAAATCTTAGAAGTCCAACACAAGAACAGGATCTTAAAAGCAGTTAGAGAAAAGCAATAAATCACTTATAAAGGTAAACCCATTAGAATTATAGCATACATCTTAACACAAACCTTAAAGGCCAGGAGAGTTTGGAGTGAAGTATTTCAAGCCCTAAAGAAAACAACTTCTAATCCAGACTAATACATGTTGCAAAACTATCTTTCAAAATTGATGGAGAAATAAAGCCTTTCCAAAGAGCACCTTAAGAAATGCATGACTACCAAACCAGCACTCTGAAAAATTCTCAAGGATATCTACCTAGAAAGACACAATGAAGCCAGTGATGCCAAAAACTCAAGAATGAATACATCAGGTAGGGCAAGAAGTTAAGAAGCCGCTGGGCCAGGGATTAGCTCAGTGGTACAGTGCCTGCCTAGCAAGTGCAAGGCCCTGAGTTTGATTCCCAGGACCAAAAAAAAAAAAAAAAAAAAAAATTAAGCAGCAAGAAGAAAAAAAGGAAATCAACAACAGGAAAATGATAACAGCGACAGGAATAAGTCAGTAATAAGTCTTCAGTAATACTCCTAATGTGAAGTTGCAACTCCCCAATCAAAAGACAAAGATTGGTAGATTAGATTTTTAAAAACCCAATGAATGCTGTGTATAAAAACATTTAAACAAAAAAATTCATAGACTAAAAATCAAAGGATGAAAAACAATATTCCATCCGATGCAACCCCCAAAACAAGCCGGAATAGTTATCCTATTTTTGGGCAAAGTGGACTTCAAGCCAAAAGTGATCAGAAGAGGCAAAGAAGGTCATGATGTATTGGTTAAGGGAACAATTCAACAAGAAGAGATAATAACTATAAATATATAATTTATATATTTGAACACTACTGCAGCCAACTTCATAAAACAAACACTACTGGACATTAAAGATCCGATAGGGCCGGGATTTAGCTCAGTGGCACTGCACCTGCCTTGCAAGCACAAGGTCCTGAGTTTGATCCCCAGTACCAAAAAAATAGATCCAATAAACATCAATAGGGACCTCAATACTCCAATTTCCCAAATATATCAACTACACATCAAAGGTGAAACAGACTTTTGGACAAATGGAATTAATAGAAATCTACAGTATATTCCCCAATGACAACAGAATACATATTCTTCTCAGCAGCACATGGAACTTTCTCCAAAATAGAGCACATATTAGCCCATAAAGCATGCTTAAATAAAAATTGATATTATTCCACACATATTATCAGATTATACTAGAAATTGATGATAAAAGAAACCACAGAAGTTATGCAAACACATGGTGATTTAACAACACATTCTTGAATAATCAACAGGTCACAGAAGACATCAAAGAAGTAATTAGTTCCTACAATAAAAAAAAAAAAAATGATGTCACAAGGACCTGAGCTTGATCCCCAGTACCAAAAAAAAAAACCAAAGCAAAAT